AACCTGAGAAGCCCAAGCACCAAACCGAAAGGAGTGGCGTAAGACATGTTTCATTAAGTTAAAGGGTTTTGAGGACAGTAGACAAAAGGACCATGATCAGCTCGGTCAAGCAGAGACGTCATCAAAATCCTGCTCAAACAAATTTCATCTGTCAATGTGGCGTTGTTATCGACAGCAAGGCTGGGTTAGTATCACACTTATGAATTCACAAATGAGATATGTCTTTCCCTTATCTGATTTTCTCCACAATAGTCCCTGCTAGCATGCATAAGTTTAATACGAAAGACACCATCCAATGCTGACTCTCATTTATCGTTCACGATAGGAGAGTCCACTATATATATATATATATATATATATATATATATATATATATATATATGTATGTATGTATGCATGTATGTGTGCATGTATGTAGTTGTATGTGTAAATATTCTCAGAAGAGGTACAGTCCATAGTTCATCTCAGGGCATATCAATCTAATCAAAATCTAAACAATATACATTTTTAAATTTGCTTGAATATTACTCTCTCAATTTACTTTCTGCTAGACTTATGATACGTTGTGACCTTCATATGCTTTGATTGACCTTTCAGTCTTATGCGGAACATTCATGAACGTTCTCAAACTTAAAATTCTTTATAAGCCAATGAAATCCTTATATTTCTATATAAATACGTGCAGCAAATTATATGGTAAATTTACAGAGGACGAAACGCGACGGCGAAGAATAATTGTTTTCTACTTTCTGTGTATATATATACTTCAGCCGCTGGCGAGTATATATATATATATATATATATATATATATACTCGCCAGTGGCTGAAGTAGGTAAACCACTGCTAGTGGTGATTACTTATTCAACATATTAACCCCACTTACACTTACAATCGTGACCAACGTATTTATATGGATTGGGATATATCCGTTAGTGTTCCGAGGTATGATATAACACAAATAAATACTTTATTGACGTTTTAGATAAATTAATGACTCCCTTAGCATAGTTTTTTTTTTTTTTTTTAGATAGCTTTTTGATATTCAGCTCAGGTGGTTTATATATATATATATATATATATATATATATATATATATATATATATATTAAGACATTTTTTTATGTTTATATATTCTTTTTTTATAAAAATGCTTTTAAATAATTGTCGGACTTTGTCCATATATATATATATATATATATATATATATATATAATTTATTTAAAAAAAAAATTATAACATAAATATGTTATAAAATCACTACAAAAAATAGCCATTTTGATATCCAGCTCAATTGGTATATATATATATATATATATATATATATATATATATATATATATATATATATATATATATATATATATTTAAAAATGCTTTTAAATAATTGTCGGACTTTGTCTATATATATATATATATATATATATATATATAATTTATTTAAAAAGATTTATAACATAAATATGTTATAAAATCACTACAAAATAGCCATTTTGTTTCAACACTCAGTGTCTTATCAAGTGATGATGTTGAATGTCATTCAACATCTTCACTTGATAAGACACTGAGATCATTGAAACAAAAAAATTTTTGTAATGATTTATAACATATTTATGTCATAAATCTTTTAAATAAATAATTATATCTCTCTACTTTGTATTGAGCACTCTTTTAAGAATAGTATTTGTTGGTTATTGAATTCATTCCGTATATACCAATCATATACTTAGATATATATATATATATATATATATATATATATATATATATATATATATATATATATGCTATTCGGTCGAGTGAGCTCGGACATTCATGTGTCTATCACACCGTAATGGTTCTGCATCAAAGTGGGAAGGTCATTAGAGAGGCATTCTGTTTCATAGTATATCTCAGGGGTGGGGAACCAATTTGTGCATGACAGCCACAGTGAAACTCCTCGCCCCCCCCCTAGAGAAAGCATTCACCATGTGATTTTTTTTACAGTTACACATTTCATGTCTTATTTTTAAAAGAAAATGCATGAAATAGAATTTACTATATATAATCTAATAAAAGCAGACATTACAAAACTGAAAACATGACATGTTCAAACATATACTTTATTCACCTCTTAGACGCTAGACAATAAAAACGAAAGCTTTATTTAAAAAAAAATAAAATAAATTTAAAATGTCAGTGCCCCCACACCGGCATCCGTCTCCTTCGTGTACATATCTGGTCGAATCTATGTAAATATCATTTTTGTCCGATAATGTCCTAAAGCATCAAACCCGTCACACGAAAACATCTTTTACATTTTCTTATAGAGTGGATATTGCCATATATTATTAAAAGGAATTGATTTTTCTAATGTTTTTCGATGTGAAATATTCTCGATATCAACCATTCACTTTTTTTTTTGTTAGTGACCAAAATGTCTTTCTTGAACTGGCAGTGAAAGAATTCCGCGTGAAGGGTAATAAAACAATTAAGATTTATCCGAGAAAGGGTGAAAAAGATATCTGTATTCTTATCTTTTAATGACCCCTGTGTGTTCTTAGATCTATTTCCATTTTTTGTGTTTTGTCAGCATACGTACGCATGCGTATATTCCTTCTCCATATATATATATATATATATATATATATATATATATATATATATATATATATATATACTATCTTATTATAAGGATTATTATAAATATATGTACACATACACATACACAAACAGACATACACCGTGCGTTTCCCGTAAGTAGTTTTGTTTTTGTCAATATATATATATATATATATATATATATATATATATATATATATATATAAACCTAAAGAGCCATTTAAACCTACCTAGGTTTCACCTAAACGGATCGTCAAGCTAAACTGGCCAGGTGGCTTTTTAGGTTTATATTAGGTTTGCTCTA